CTCCTCCATCCTCCTCCATCCTCCTCCATCCTCCTCCAACCTCCTCCATCCTCCTCCATCCTCCTCCACCTCCTCCATCCTCCTCCATCCTCCTCCAACCTCCTCCATCCTCCTCCAACCTCCTCCATCCTCCTCCAACCTCCTCCATCCTCCTCCATCCTCCTCCAACCTCCTCCTCCTCCACCTCCTCCATCCTCCTCCAACCTCCTCCATCCTCCTCCAACCTCCTCCATCCTCCTCCATCCTCCTCCAACCTCCTCCATCCTCCTCAACCTCCTCCAACCTCCTCCATCCTCCTCCATCCTCCTCCATCCTCCTCCAACCTCCTCCAACCTCCTCCATCCTCCTCCATCCTCCTCCAACCTCCTCCAACCTCCTCCATCCTCCTCCAACCTCCTCCATCCTCCTCCAACCTCCTCCATCCTCCTCCATCCTCCTCCATCCTCCTCCATCCTCCTCCAACCTCCTCCAACCTCCTCCAACTTCCTCCAACCTCCTCCATCCTCCTCAACCTCCTCCATCCTCCTCCATCCTCCTCCAACCTCCTCCAACCTCCTCCATCCTCCTCCAACCTCCTCCATCCTCCTCCATCCTCCTCCATCCTCCTCCAACCTCCTCCAACCTCCTCCATCCTCCTCCAACCTCCTCCATCCTCCTCCAACCTCCTCCATCCTCCTCCATCCTCCTCCATCCTCCTCCATCCTCCTCCAACCTCCTCCAACCTCCTCCAACTTCCTCCAACCTCCTCCATCCTCCTCAACCTCCTCCATCCTCCTCCATCCTCCTCCAACCTCCTCCAACCTCCTCCATCCTCCTCCATCCTCCTCCAACCTCCTCCATCCTCCTCAACCTCCTCCAACCTCCTCCATCCTCCTCCAACCTCCTCCATCCTCCTCCAACCTCCTCCATCCTCCTCCATCCTCCTCCAACCTCCTCCATCCTCCTCCAACCTCCTCCATCCTCCTCCAACCTCCTCCAACCTCCTCCATCCTCCTCCATCCTCCTCCAACCTCCTCCATCCTCCTCAACCTCCTCCAACCTCCTCCATCCTCCTCCAACCTCCTCCATCCTCCTCCAACCTCCTCCATCCTCCTCAACCTCCTCCAACCTCCTCCATCCTCCTCCAACCTCCTCCATCCTCCTCCAACCTCCTCCATCCTCCTCCATCCTCCTCCATCCTCCTCCAACCTCCTCCAACCTCCTCCAACTTCCTCCACCTCCTCCATCCTCCAACTTCCTCCATCCCTCTTTATTTCTTATCCACTGATCTGCAGAATCTCCTTCCATCCTACCTCCTCCTTTCTCATCCCCCGCCCCATCCTCCCTCCACGCCTCGCCCCCTTCTCAGGTGTTTGTTCTACACAGGTGAGCTGTGATCCCCGTGTGCGTGAGTAAACGTGTGCGTCAAACATCCGTGTCTGGGTGCGTGACCACGTGTGTCTTTGTTGCTGTGTGTGTGAGAGCGGTGGGGCACTGGTTAGCGCTGCACCTGTGCTATGAACCCGGCGAACCGATGTCGATTTCCTCTCACGGCCAAAATCGGTGGCGAATATCTGGGGCGATTCTGGGCCTCCCCTAGGTCGACTCAGCATGAAATAGACATTTGGTGGGGTGCGTAAACATCATCACTGGGGAGACAAAGGCGGCCGGGCGTGGTGCTGCCGGCATTATTAGGTGCTCGCTAGCAGCACTTGCCCCAGCGGTCTGTTGAGGCTATACGGGCTCTTAGTCTTTTTTTGTACACACGCGTGTTATGTGTATTGGGAGCGGTGGCGCAGTGGTTAGCGCACTACTATCCGAGTCCAATTTCCGGCCACGGCTAACATCAGTGGCGAGTGATATCTGATCCGGCCCAGGTCCTCCCCCTAGGTCGACTCAGCCTTACACCGGGAGCTGGTTAGATTGACGACTCGTTTCTGTAGAACTGCTGCTTGTTGTTGTTGTTGTTGTCCTTCCCCGCGCCTCCCATTAGCGCGGCTGGCTCCGTGCGGCGCAGCTCGCACTGCGGAGACAAAGGCGGTCGAAGCGTGGTGGGAATTCGCCCGATCTCGTCAGATCTCGGAAGCTCAGCAGTTTCGAGCCTGGATAGTGTTTGGATTGGTAGGGTCAGGGTCATGGTCAGGGTCGGGGTCAGGGTTTGGGTCAGGGTTAGGGCCAGGGTCGTGGTTAGAGTGGGGGTTAGGTGATGGTGAAGGTCAGGTTCAGGGCTGCGGTCAGGATGGAGGGTTGAGATGCGGGACACTGTGTGGGGGGAGAGATGGGGTCTGGGTTAGAGTCGTGGTTCGGGAAGGGTTCGGGCGTGGGGATCGTTGTGAGGCTGTGTTGAGGCTGTGGTGACGGTGTGGCTGAGGGTGTGGTGAGGGTGTGGTTAGGGTGAGGTGGTGTGGTGAGGTGGTGTTGTTAGGGTGTGGTGAGGGTGTGGTTTAGGGTGTGGTGAGACTGTGGTGAGGGTGTGGTGAGGGTCAGGTGGTGTGGTCAGGTGGTGTGGTGAGGGTGTGGTTAGGGTGAGGCGAGGCTGTGGTGAGGGTGTGGTTAGGGTGTGGTGAGGCTGTGGTGAGGGTGTGGTGAGGGTGTGGTGAGGGTGTTGTTAGGGTGAGGTGGTGTGGTGAGGATGTGACGAGGGTGTGTGGTGGTGTGGTGAGGCTGTGGTAAGGCTGTGGTGAGGGTGTGGTGAGGGTGTGGTGAGGCTGTGGTGGTGTGGTGAGGGTGTGGTGAGGTGGTGAGGTGGTGTGAGGAGGCTGTGGTGAGGCTGTGGTGAGGGTGTGGTGAGGGGGTGGTAAGGCTGTGGTGGGGTGGTGAGGGTGTGGTGAGGCTGTGGTGAGGGTGAGGCTGTGGTTGTTGGTCGCGTGGCGCTGCGTGCGCGAGGTCGCAGCGCCCCCTCGCGGCGCCTCCTCCGTGCAGAGCCGCGTGTGGACGGGGGGCACGATCAGCAGCAGCAGCGGCCAGGGTCAATCCACTGCTGGATAGACCAGCTCGCCAACATTGCCCGTGGAGTGCTGACGCAGTAATACATCGGCACGTTTATCCACCACGTGACAACTTTATTAGCTGGCTGTGTCGGGTGGAGGGGGGTGTACGACGCATATTTTATTTACACGATCTGCCCGCGTGCTTTCCACACCATTAGTACAACGAATAGGCAATGTAAAGAGCCCGTTGTCAATCCACTGCTGGATGAAGGCATCCAGCCACACGCCGTGTCGGTCATGGGTGGTTGTTTAACCATACTTCACAACGCTGGTCTCTGCTGGTTTACATGATGACGATGCTGATGGCCTCTGTGTGGTTCCCATTGGAAAGTCGGTTGCGTTTGAGCATCGTTCGAAGCGGGGCTGGGCGGAAGCACCCGGTTAGAATATTCGCCACTGATGAGAGCCGTGGCTGCGACTCGAAGTCAAGGTCGCCGGGTTCAGCGCGCTAACCACTGCGCCACCGCTCCTCCGTAGTCCAATGACTTGATCACTGTTGATGTGCTCGTTGTTGATGTGCTCGCTGTTGATGTGCTCGCTGTTGATGTGCTCGTTGTTGATGCTCGCTGTTCCGGGGTCAGCGAGCCCGGGGCCCTGGCGTGAGAGGATGGAGGAGGAGGAGGAGGATGGAGGAGGAGGATGGAGCGCCGCAGCGGCGGTGGTCTCACAGCCACGAGGTGGCGCCGTCATCACAAACCGGGACCCGCCAACGAGACTGACGGTTCAGCACAAGTCCCGTATTGAAAGACACATACTGTCTTTAACAGGCGACGTTTCGGGAAATGGCCCTTCTTCATAGAGCTATGGCATGGTAGATGTCTCCTCGATTCTCTCTGCCGTCTGCGACAGCCATGAGCGCAGTTTTCCCAACCGTGTTCATCACAGAACCCCGACCCTGACTCTCACCCGACCCCGACCCTCACCCGACCCCGACTGAATAAGCAGACGACACTCGCCTCCTTCCCACATCTGTCCCGCCTTACATATTATATATATAAAAAAAGACGAAAGTACATTTTGACACATCTCATCAGCCATACGGCCTTCTATAGAAGTGCACCACAAGCAAAACTCTGGACTAGATTCGATGTCCCGTGTCTCATCAGCAGTCGGGCTTACTGAAGCCTCGTTTGTTGTAGCAGCGGCGTGGGTTGTGTTTGCCAGGGAACCGATGCTTTTGTTGATGGAACCCGATTCAAGAGCTTCCGAGCTCAAAGATTGCTTCACAATAAGCTGACACTGATCGTGGGGTAGGCGGTCTGCTGCCAGGCCCCGAGCTCCGCGTGTCGAGTCGTCACATGCGAGGCTCTCTTAGCGGCCTGGCTGGCAGGGTTGTGGTGATTCTATACAACCTCATCCCGGGGTGCAACGGTGGCTACGAGATATTAACTACCTCCCCTGGCGCCTGCGGCTGCTGCTGTATTTAGAGTCTGCGTGTCGCTCTCCCCGTGGTCGCGTGGATTTTTTCTCCGGGTCCTCTGGCTTTTCCCGCCGTATTTATAATCGATATCACGCGTTTCTAGTATTTAGGCTGCTGTACATTTCCACGTGATGATAATCAACTTCGTTGAGCCATCATTTGTGGCCAGGCCACTTCTGAAAAAGAGCGACACAGGCCAGTGGGCCTTACCTGGTAAAAAAAACGAAAAGTTTCAAAAGTTGTAATGGTCATCATACTTGCAATGGAGATGCAATCCAGGGAGGTCGCCCGTTCTGTTCGGCTCCCAGCGCGACAGTTAAAACACTGGGCAAGTCGTTTAAAGCCCCATCCGCCTTCACACTGAGGATATAAGCAGCTCGTGACTGGTGGGGCAAAGCGTAGGTACTCCAACCTCCACCCTCTTCTCTGGCCGGCGTGGAAGAGTAGGCCGAATACCCTTCTTTAGATCTTAACTCGAGTTGGGAGGGCCCTACCACCAGCAGTGGTGGCGTGAGCAGCAGTTGCAGGGCTGCGCCTTTAACCTGACACTGAGATTGTCCCCCGCGTGCGTTGAGCTGTCAGTGAGAGAGAGAGAGACTCCAGTCGACATGGAACCAACGCAAAGTATTTATTACAAGTAAAATGTTTAAGATCACAATAAAGCTTTTGTGTGTAATACAGCTCCTAATATCATCACAGTCACTCAACGACATCAGCCCAAGCCGAGCAGTAACACAAACAACACACAAAGACAAAGATCCCCCGTATAGCCTTTAGCAAGCTGTTGGAAAAGTGCTGTTAGCGAGCACCTATTAAGGCCGGCACGGCACACGAGGGGGTGAGTGGCCAGCACCACGCCCGGCCGCCTTTGTCTCCCCAGTAGCGGTGATTATAAAACACCGCACCAGGTACTCATTTGAGGCTGAGTCGACCTAGGGGAGGACCCAGCGAGGACCGGTTCAGATATTCGCTGTCACTGCTGTTGGTGCGCCGTGAGCGGGAATCGAACTCGGGTCGCCGCCGGGATCGTGGCGCAGCGCGCTAACCGCTGCGCCACCGCTCCCCACACAGACGCGTGCACACACACGATACATCAGGACGATAGATAATTCATAATTATGCAGCAACGACCGCTACTTAAGGATAAAAAGGTACACAGACTCTTCTGAAATGTGACTTCTAATAACGATGACTCTAGGAGTAAAAAAAATTACACACAACACAGAGAAAGAATCGAAACCCCCGAGTGTGTGCAAGAGGTGGCGGAGGAGGAGCGGGGTGAGATGGGAGGATGGGGGGGATGCATGTGGGCAGTGTTAATCTCGTTTGCACGTTTAACTTTAGCCGCAGACTCTGCCGAGTCGGCGTGAGCTGGCGGATTTTAAACCCAGACCGTGAGCCGTGCTCTGCTGAGTCGCAGCTCGGCTCTGGCTCAGCTCCTGAGCCACTCAGCGGCCTCAACTCGTGAAAGAACCTGAGCTGCGCCTGGGACCGTGACTCAGAGGCGGCTCACGTGGAGCGCGGCGGCTCGGAGCTGGCTCCACGTGAGCCGCAGCCAAGCCCGAGCCGAGCCGAGTCTGGGCACAGCGCGTGTGGATTTCACGTCATTCGTGATCGATTCGTTTGAATGAGATCGCGTAAGTAACTGTGTCGTACACCCTCCTCCACCCGACGCGGCCAATCAATCCGACCCCAAACATCGACCATGAGCCGCACCCGTGCGGAATTGCACAGCAGTCAATCCCCTCCGTCTGGAGGAGTGCCAGCGGACACGCGTCCCGTCAAGACACTCGCAAGTGATGCTGATGAGCTCAGCCAATCTCGCCGTGTCCACACGGAGAGTGGCCACGTGTCCACACGGAAAGTAGCCACGTGTCTACACGGAGAGTCGCCACGTGTCCACGTGTGCGGGCTCCGTCTGCGCGCTGCAGCCGCTCCCGCCTCGGCCCGCGTCTTTATTCAGACGCCTCGCCTCGTCCGTCAGGAGCGCTTTGGTCTTTGGTGGCGATGGTAGTGGTGGTGATGATGATGATGGTTCTGATAGTAATAATGGTGATTGTGGTTCTGCTAGTATTGGTTGTGATGATGAAGGTGGTGGTGGTGATGATGCTGGTGACGATGGTGGTGGTGATGATGAAGGTAGTGGCGGTGATGGTATGGATGATGGTGGTGGTGATGGTGGCGGGCAACAGTCGTAGTCATCATCACACGTGGAAATTTTCGCCCACTCACAGTCATGATTTCGTTGAAAAATTTCGTCAATAATTTCCTGAACGTAATTAACACTGGAAGGGGAGGGGGGCTGAGATTGGTGGGGGGGAGGGTTGAATGGGGGGGGGGGGGTAACAGGTGAGGGCACGGACCCCCCCCCCACCCACACCTCCACGTGGGCCCCACCCGACCCCACGAGTCCTGGTGGTGGACAACGTCCCGTGACTTGACAGGGAGCGGCGAGGTCTTCCTGCGCCCCTCGTGCCCCCTCGACACGGGCACTTGAAGCGCGGGGCACGAGGGCCACCACCGCCACTTCCAGCGTCATCAGCAGCAGCACCCGATCACAGCTCACGTCATCACTTCATAATGACCACTCGCCAAGTCGCTATCCTCTCCACCGCGAGGCAGTCTCTCTCCCGCGCTGCGGAGGAGACATCTGAAAGGCACTAGGAGTCAGATTCGGTAGCGAGGGATGTAACTCAGATTGCTGTTGGTTGTCTGTGGAATCTTTCACCAAAATTCTGCCGGTTTTTTCGAACATATTCCTCTGCCTCTTCTCAGATTGATCGACAAATGTTCAGCCGTCTCAAATGTGTTATTTTTAAGTTCCCAAACAACATCGCCTCGAGAACGATCTGTGGGGTTTCTTCCCAGCGCGTTCCACGGGGTCCTGTAGATGTGTGGTTCGCTCCAGACTGCTAAGAGGCTTTACCATTTGCGGCATAAACAGGAGGGGTTTAGATGTTCAAACAGCAAATAAACACCTATCTCAAGGCATCATCAGGTCTGCACTAACCACACGTGGCCGTGGTAAAACATGCAAACAAACGTGCTCTGACAATGTGCGCGTGGTTCTTGAAACTGATCGCCCAACGCCGGAGACCGCCTCCTCTGTGCCTCGTCTCGCCGGAGAACAGCGCCACGTGGCGAAAATCAGAGACAATGGAGACGTCAGAGCCCGAACAGCTTGGGGTTGAACATCTCAACTCCTGATCCATTATTGCCCAAACGGGTACAGCCGATTGTTTCCCATCATTTTTATACCGGCAAAAAGTCTCGCATAGATATGCGATGGATTGTCTCAGATTCTCTACGTGTCTGGCCAAGCCACTCACCCCCACGTCACCGTTTCTCAATGTAACGCAACCAATGAAGACGAACGATTTCAAACTCGTGTGAGACTTTGGCTTTAAACGTGGTCCAGTGCGGCCCCCCCCCCCACCCCCGTCCTGGTGACACCCCGCGAGTCGAGCCACGGACGCCCCGATTTGATTATCACAATCATCGTTTTTGGCTCTCATCATTTGCGCCGTGATGAGACTCTCTTTGTTCACATTGTTCAGACTTTAACTTCTCCAGTTCGCCGTTTGCTAAAGATTTGTTCCCAACGCGCTCTCCCCAGGGATTCTAAATAAAATTAACGGATCGATTAACTTACGAATACATTAATTCGCTTAGGGCGACCTGTGACCGCGAGGCAGAGTCAAAGTGCACAATGATGGGCCCCAGAGGATGGGCGGAGTAGGGGAAGAGGGTGGTGGCGGTGGCGGTGGTGGTGGTGTGGCTTTGTGGGCTGAGGTGATGCACATCACACATACTGACAGAAGCACACCACACCAGGGAGAACACAACACACAACCCCAGACAACCACACACACAACACACAGCACGCAGAGAAGCACACCGCACCAAACACCACGGGACACGACAGCGCACACCGCACTACGCGTTACACAGCCACACCATGGAGCACGCCAGACAAAAGCACACCATACGAGACATCACACCGTGACACAGCACACCTTATACACTCAGAGAAAACAGCAGCCACCATCACACAACACGCACACCACCAACCACAACGCCGACGAATGTTTCCCCAAATCCGACACACACGTCACACGCGACACACGCGTCACACATGCATCGTCTCAATGCAGCGACGAGGTGAGAAGGAAGTCGATGCACGGCAGCATCCGCAGCTCGCCCCGGAGCATCTCAACGCCGCCACTTCTGGGCGGCCACCACCACCACAACGGGGCCACCACCACGGGGCCACCACCACCACGGGGCCACCACCGGGGCCACCACCACTACCACCACCACCACAGGGCCGCCACCACCACCTCCACCACGGGGCCCTCCCCCACGCGTGTCCCAACCCCACAGCGGCGTCTCCGCGTCCACCCACCGCTCCTGCCAAGCCCGGCCCCCGCCTCGAGCCCCGGCACGCGCGTCACTGCCGTGCAACACAGAGCCGTGGGACGTCTATTGGTACTCTGGCTCCTGCAGGACCTCGCCATGGTCTATCCGCCGCTGGCCTCATCATCATTTGCACTTCCAGGACGTCGCGACGTCGCGCTGGCAAAGCCAGGGGTGGATTGGAAGAGATGCTGCTCCCACCCGAAGAGGTGTGGAGTGGGCAGCGTGGTGAGGCAGTTCTCTGTGAACCACAGCAGCCAGTGGTGGTGGAACCAGGCCCCGTGACGAGTTGGGCGAGGGACAGGAATTTGATGACCTCCCTCCTCCTCCCATATCTTCCATCATTTGGAGCTGAGGACCTACTCCCCCTATCTCTCATTTCACGGACACTGGGGCCTGAAGTCCCACTGCTTCACATCTCCTGGATTTCAGGACCTTAAGATCTCAGGACCAATTCATTGTTTCCCATTTCCTAGAGCACAGGGCGGCAAAATCCTAGGATGTACTTTTCATCTCCGAGCCCACTGGGAGCCAAAGCAGCCCCACGTCCCACTCCCAGCCTCGCCACCTTAAGTGAATAGTCTACTACTGCCCGGCTGAAGTAACCACGGCGACTTAAATACAAACTATGACGAATAATAATCATCATGATTCTCATCATCGTCATCAAAAAATAAAATAATGAAGCGACTTGCTGTGGCAACATCACTATCATCAACATCACCGCCACCATCACCACCGCCATCATCACAGCCGTCGTTACCACCATCATAATCACCACTGCCGCCATCATCATCACCATCGTCGCCGCAAGTTACTGTAAAGCTAATAAGATTGCCAGCACGGGAAACACCCCGCGAATACAATACTGACGTCATTCCCAAAGAGAGACAAAGACGGAGGCCACTAAGCCCACACAGCACACAGCTCGCAGCCAATAAACATCGACGTCAACAATAGTATCAACAACGACATCAACAGTCATAGTAATAGTAGTAGTTATAGTTAATTGCAGATTCCCATAATTCTAAAAAATAATAACTCAAGAAGCTTTGCCGTGAAACGAACAATACCGTCGCCATCATAATAATAATCATCACCATCATCAACATTGTCACCACGATCATATTATATTCGCCATCGTGAACATCATCATCATCTCCGTGGCTACAGTACTTTCTGGAACCGAGGTGCACAACGCGAGCGATGGCGATGGCAGTAACCATGGGGACCGGAGCGAGTGCGGTCCACGTGGTTACCAAGGGGAGGGTGGAGGAGGGGATGGGGGCATTGGGGCGACTTCAACAGCAGCAGGCAAACAGCAGCAGGCAACAGCAGCAGGCAGCACAAAACACATCATCACTGCATACGCCCGGCAGCCAATTGAACGCAACTCACTCACACAAAGACCCCCCGTATAGCCTTAACAGACTGTAGGGGCAAGTGCTGTTAGCGAGCACCTATGAAGGCCGGCACGGCACACCAGGGGGTGGGTGGCCAGCACCACGCTGGACCGCCTTTGTCTCCCCAGTGGCGATGTTTACACATCGCACCAGGTACTCATTTAAGGCTGAGTCGACCTAGGGCAGGAAGCCCAGGACCGGTTCAGATAATCGTCAGTGGTGGTGGGCGTCAGCGGGAATCGAACTCGGGTCGCCGGGTTCGTAGTGCAGCGCGCTAACCGCTACACTACCGCTACCCGCACACGCGCACACGTGTACACAAGCAGCACACACGCACGCATTCTGCAGTTGAGTAGCAAGCACCAGCGCCACAACACCAACCCTCGTACCGCCCCAAATGGTGTTAGTTTTCATCCCACCACCACCGCTGCCGCCGCCACCCCCACCACCACCAACATCATCATCATCAGACATGTAAGAATTCAAGTTCATCCTGTTGGGAGTTCGTGACCGATTCAGTCATTGATCACATTTCATAATCGATTCGATGATCGATCACATGAACACCGTCAACGTCCTGCCTGCGCCTTGTTCACTCCGCGTGCCTCGCTCGTCCTGTCCGCTTCGCACGCCCGTTTCACGCCTTCCATCATTCTACAGTTTCATTTCATTAAAATGTCATTTGCATATAATTTGCATTTGTGTCCTGTATAGTCGATAGCATGATTCCACGCAAGTATCAATTAACGAGCTCATTCATTGAATTGTTACATGCCTAATTATCGTCATCACCAACACCACCACCATCATCATCATCACTAAGTCTACCACCCTTGTTAACAGCCTGTTACCCTCCCACATACATAAGCTGCAGTGTTCCATTGCTTCGTATTATATCTCTTAGTAAATAGATTATCAATATTATAATCAATATCATCAATATTAAATCTTTTACATTTTGTACAAAATAAACTGTGAACTCTGCACCCTGCAGCCCGAGAGGGCGCGATTGTCAGCGCGTGATGCGAGGAGCACTGGTCAACAACAACAACCACCAGTACCACCAACAACAACCACCAACGACAACAACAACAACCACCTTCCCCCCAGCCTCGCCTCCCTCTCCCCACCAGCTTCTCAGGGGTGGATCTTCGGAGAACCACCACAACTTGTGAACCGGGAGATATTCACCAGGCACCGCTCATATTGCGTGCTGCGATTGCTAAAGAGGGCCCCCCCTCTGTGAAGAGATGTCGGGACTGCCCCCCCCCCCCCCGCTCCGCACCTCCCCTTCTCGAGTCACCAGCGAGTGGCCGGCGCGTTACCGGGACGGACTGGCTGTGGATCACGGCGAGTTCAACTCCTGGTTGGGTTGGGCGGGGAGTTGAATCCTCATCTACCCTCCGTCCCGATGTGGCCTATAAACTAGGTACCAGCTTATCGGGGGGGAGTAAACAGTGGCTGTCTTACGGATAGACGCGTCCCCGTTCTAGGAATGTGGAGTTTCCACCGGCGGGTCGTGCGAGAGCAGGGAGAGAGTTTGCTGGGAGTTGAGATTCACGTGCGGGGGGGGGGGGGACCAAACGAGTGAGACTCGGCGCCACGGAGATGCTGTTGGCGCCGTCACCGGCAGTGACCGAGATCTAGGATCACGGGGAAAGTTTTCCGCCGCAAACGCACGGACGGGGGGGGGGGGGGGGGTGACAGCGGCCAACGGCGCCAGGAGCCTGCCCCCCTCCCACGGCCACGGCCCCATTCCTACGCTGATGGAGTCCTCCACACGGACACCCCGGCTCGCTCCGTCACCCCTGTGGGGTCACGCGGGGTCACGCTCCTATGGGAACATCGCCACCCCCCTTCTCATCCTCCTCCTCCTCCACCCGTCTCATCTTCCGCCAGAATCGCAGCGACGATCGTGAGAAGGAGCAGATGGGGGAGGAGGTGGGGGCCCACGGGGAGAGTGGCGGGGGCTGATGGGGGCTGGTTGAAACTGCCCATAGGAGGAACTGCCCTCGAGTAAAACATAAGGCACTTAGACATCCATCTCACGAGAAACAATCAACTCTTCCTCCACCACCACCACCATCGCTCGGTACATCAACAACAGCAGCAGTGGCCCGTCCCAGTAAACATGCCAACGTTGGCCCAACGTTAGCCCAACGTTGACATGTGTTTGGAACATTTGGCTCAACGTTGACCCAACGTCGAGCCAACGTTGGCATGTGGTTGGAACCGTTGGCCCAACTTTGTGTCAACGTTGGGCTAACAATGTTCCACGCTCTACTGGGATATTCGCTCGTGCTTCTCCATGCCGTTGTTGTTGTCTGCTGCTGCTGCTGCTGCCGACGCGTTAAACAGCAGCGCAGTGCGGGTTCGTGGAGCGTCCCAAATTCTCCGTTTTACCAAAAAGTGTCGCCACCCCCACCGCCACCGTCGCCGCTCCGCTGTCCGAGTTACAAAAATACTGTACAGGGTAAGTGTCGTATCAAAACTGCCGGAGCGCGTGTTGGATTTAGAAGCTTATGCGATCATATCGTATATATATTTACGTATATATATTTTTTATATTATAGTGCCGCACACACAAACTCTATCGTATACTTTTCTTAAAGCAAATACATTGAATTTTAGAATATATAATTTTGTTAAGATACATTCATTGTATGACAGCTGGCTTGAAGGGACCCAATAAAATCATGCCAACGGTTTACATCATGAAATACTTAAGCTCTCCTTCAGCCCGTCCATATAAATACCCCGACTGCTTAGACATAACCAACTTGCCCGCGTTCAAAAACGAAAAGGGGAAGCAATCATCGATTAAAATCAAGAACCTCTTGCGCGCGTTCGTTAAAAATTGATCACGTCCATAGCGCGGTGAAGTTCTAACCCCACCCAGTGCTGATTATTATTATAATTACTATTTAAGTTAAGCGCAAAAAGCCAGACTTCCCTACCGATCGCTGCACCAACTTCTCCACCCCACCGTCCCCCCCACCTCCCACACCCCGTGATCCGGAAACTTCCAAGCGAAAATAAAACAAGAAAATCTCGACGGTCGTCGGCCGACGGACGTGAAACTGAAATGTGTACAGTGCCCAACGCACGCACCACCAGCACCGCAATCGAAAACCGCTCTCTCGCTCCCTCCCTCTCGCACTCGCTCTCTCTTGAGAGTCCACGGACCCAGAGCAGGAATCGAACTCGTTCAAGCCGAGCTTGGCGTCTTGCTGACGAGGCACCGAACGCCGAAAACCGGCCCAGGCATTTCGCTCGCGGGGAACCGACGCCGCTGACATGACGCGCTCTGAGCCAACGGAGTCCCCTCCCTCCGCCCGTCCGTTCCCTCCTCCTTCAAATCGGTCCTTCATCACTGTTTGCCCTCTTTTGTTCTTCGTTTCATCGCCCTCCTTCCTTCCACGCTCCCCTCGTGCCCCTTCCCTTCCTTCCCCATCGGCACGTAACAACGTGAGTAACAGCCGAGCTGTTGTGTTCTGGAAACACCTGGCAACCCACAAACTCTCGCGGTGCGGAGAGGGTCCGGATTTTGCAGTTTGCACTAACGACGCTAAATAAGATAAAAGTATAATAATTATTATTGTTACGAAGTGGATGAAGCAAGCGCATTATTAAGTGGGAATACGATACGACAATCGAGGGTGGATCGTAGATTTTAGTCATGAGGCCAGCATGGATGCTCTTAAAATAAACATGGGTAAATATGAGTTTGATTCCCGCTCATAGCCATCAAACACCATTGAAGATTATTTGAACCGGTCTTGGGCCTGCCCCAGTGCCTGGTGCGGTGTGTAGTAAACATCGCCACAGGAAGACTAAGGTGGCCGGGCGTGGTGCTGGCCACTCAACCCCTCTCCTTCGCCATGCCGGCCTTCAGGCCTTCATAGGTGCTCGCTAACAGGACTTGCCCCAACAGTCAGCCTTTATCTTTTGGGTATGTGTAAGTGTTTCCAGGACAAATCTCATTGTGGCAATTCATGGTCTCAATTTGATTCAAATATAAATTATTTTGTTTAACATCGTGGTGAATGTAGCGGCCTCTAGTGGCTGCAGGGATCAAATCAACCCATCTCACACGGCGTATGTTGCTGCACGCATGGTTGCACGTGCTTGCCTCGACCGCGTGAATCAACTGTAACCAGGACTTAATTCCTTGCTGAACATTTTGCGAGAGCTATACTGGATGTGGTATGCCTGGTGCACAATGATTTTCTGGGTGGAGACCAGGCCAGGCCCGGCTTAGTCAAGCCCTGGTGACAACCAATGAATTGATTATTTGTTACGTGCCTCCATTCCTCTCAATCCTGGTGTTCATCCTTCACTCCACATCTCCTCTCTTTCCCACTCTCTCCATCTCGCGCCCTCTTCTTCCATTTCTCTCGCTCGTCTCTATTCCTCTCTCTCCCCATCTCATTCTCTTCTCTCTCTCCATCTGTCCATCTCTCTCACCTCTCCATCTCCACTCTCTCTCTCACATCAGATCAGCAGGTACTGTGCGACGCTCTGCTGCAGCACAGGGAAGCCTGGGTAGAGGCCTAGTCCTGTGCCGGGGTTGGAGCCTGCTGCCGCGGTTGCGTGGAGGGTGAGGTATGGCTGGCAGCGACCGCCCCCAAACATGGGCGGCTGCTGCGGCTGCTGCTGCGGCTGCTGCGGCTGCTGGCGCGCGGCACCGTAAGGCACGAAGGGTCCGGGCGACGGGGGGAGGTACCTGGCGGCCAGGCCTAGGCCGAGCGCGTGCTGCGAGTAGGCCGCCGCGTAGGCCTGCCCGCAGGCCGCGCTGGGGGCCGCCAGGAAACGGGGTAGGCCCGACGAGGCCTGGTAAAGATACGGCACGGGGCCCTGCATGGGGTATACACGCTGATGCTGATGATGCTGCTGCTGATGATGGTGATGTTGTTGCTGCTGATGATGATGCTGCTGTTGATGATGTTGATGATGGTGCTGGTGGCACGGGGGCTGGGCGAACGGTATCGGGCCTGGCGGAGCCTGGGCGTAGCCGCCGGTTGCCGTGGTCACCAGCGAGTTGTACCAGCACGCCGAGTGAGACCAGTTCCCGTTGGGCTCGGCGGGGAGGTGGGCCTGAGGGTCGGGGGCAGGATCAGAGGGCGGGGTTAAGGTTAGTGGGGTCAGGGGGCATAGACCATGACGGTTACATTTCTGTGCACAGATATTTCCTTGGGTGTCGGCGGTGAATTGGTCAGTTGGTCAGGGCGGATGTGTGACGTTCTGCTGTATCTGTGTGATGGATACAGACCTGACTGTAGGTAGTTGCATGCTGCTGCTGTTGATGTTGCTGCTGATGTTGCTGATGATGCTGATGGTGCTGTTGCTGATGCTGCTGCTGCTGTTGCTGATGCTGCTGCTGTTGCTGATGCAGCTGATGCTGATGCAGCTGATGCTGATGTTGCTGATGGTGCTGTCTCGGCTGGCCGCGGTATCCCAGAGCGCCGCAGGAGGAGGTCACGTGACCACCGGTCGTCACGGTGACCACGCGGTCACGCCGCGAGCCTGCGGGGGCGGGCCGCGCGCATGCTGTCAGCTGTGTTCTATCCACTGCTGGACAAAAGTCTTCACCCACCGCCGAAGCCATCGCCATCTCCCAATGGTCACACGACGATCAACCCAGCCCCCACGCAATGCGGCAATAAAATTCGTCGCTCCAACTCCGTCCTGGAAGCCCCCTCCCTCGGGCGGGCGTTCCTTCCCTCTTTTGGCGGCCGCACTGCCATTAGTCTCGACCGTCGGCCGTCGCTTCCCCTTCTAGCCGTGCCGTGTCCCGCCCCGGCCCCGCTCGACCGAAATAGATGATGGTGACCGACACACACGAGTGTGCAGAAACAGCGCGAAGCTGCACGACCCGCACACAAGCGGATCATTGCACGCTCATGTGCCATGTACGTGTGCCATGCACGTGTGTGCCATGCGCGCGTGCCATGTGCGTGTGCGTGCCACATGCGTGCCACGTGCGCGTGTGCCGCTCTCGCCGCTGCTCACCGGGATTCCGGTCGGGGTGGAGTCGCTCCTCTCCGGGTTGCTGCTGCTGCTGCTGCTGGGCGGTGGTGCCGGTGGTGGCGGTGGTGGCGGTAGTGGCGGTGGTGGCGGTGGTGGCGGTGGTGCACTGACTGACCAGGCTAAAGCTCCCCACCCTGGCGCCATCACACCGCGTCACAGCACATCACACCACGCCGCGCGACACACGTAACATGATGGTTAAAGAGAAGCGAGTATCACGTGACGCATGCGCTTGTGGGTAAAGGGAACTCGTGTCCTGCAGCGAGAGCGATATCAGACTAGGCAGGTCAAATGACGACCCCACGTGGTATAAAGATCCCCCGTACAGCCTTAACAGGCTGTTTATGAAAAGTGCTGTTAGCAAGAACCTATGAAGGCGGAGTACGGTATATGAAGGGTGATGGGGTGGCCAGCACCACGCCCGGCCGCCTTTGTCTCCCTCGTGGGGATGTTTACGCATTACATTAGGTACTCATTTGAGCCGACCTAGGGGAGGCCCAGGACCGGTCCAGATGACCGTCACTGGTGTTGATGGCCATGAGCAGGTGCGGAGCGCTAACCGCTGCACCACCGCTCCCCCTCACCTCGCCCGCTGGCTGCGCCCCTCCGGCCTCTGCGGCGACGCCGCCTCCTCCGGTCCCCTCCGTCTCCGCGGCGACAGCGTCAGCCTCTCCATGCGTTGCCGCGGCGACACAGGCGGGGAGGACGGCGGCCCCCCCGCGGGGGCCGGGGCGTCGGCCGGGGGGGCCGGGGGGGGCTGTCGCGGGGACTCGGAGTCGGGGAGGCTGGTGCCCAGGGCGCTGTCCGTGCTGCCCAGCGAGCACGAGGCCTTGCCCACGGCCACGGCCGCGGCGGCGGCACGCGCGATGCTCCGGCACGCCTCGCACGCCTGCGAGCCCTCGCACCTACAACCACAAACACCGCCACAACGACCACAACCACAACCGCAACCATCACAACCACGGTAACAGCAACCATCAACAATAACCACCACAAAAAACATCAAAAAACATCAACAACCACGACAACCATAACCACCACGACAACCATCAACAACAACCACAACCATTACAACAACCATCAACAACGTCATCACACCGTGCGCCGCCACACGAAGGGGTGGGTGTCCAGCACCACGCCCGGCTGCCTTTGTCTCCCCAGTTTTGATGTTTACCCACCGCACCAAGTACTCATTTGAAGCTGAATCGGCCGGTTCAGATGATCGTCGCTTTTGTTGGTTGCCGTTAGCGGGAATCGAGCTTAAATGACTGGGTTCGAAGCGCAACGCGCTAACCGCTGCACCACCACTCGCTCACACACTAACATACATGCTCACAAACTCTCACGCGCACACAAATCAATGTAATCCCACCTCTTCACACCCTTGCCTCCCTCTTCCTCCTCTTCCTCCTCCTCCTCCTCCCCTTCATCCTCCGCATCTCCTTCCTCCTCCTCCTCCTCTTCCTCCTCATCTGACGATGCCTGGGAACTGCTGCCCAGCGACAGGAGGCTGGTGGGGGGGCTCGGCGTCGCCATGGTGATGCTGCCGTTGTCAAGGCGATGGGTTCCTGTGGAGGCCCCCTCTCGGTAGGCCACAGAAGTGGCTGCGTGGGGCGGCTGCAAAGAAACGACCCCGGCCTCTTGAGTACAGAAAATGCTCGGAAAATCGGGTGGGCGGCGATTACAGGAAGATCCGACACACGCCGTGAGAGAAGACGCAAACACATATTAAGACATTATACGGGCGTCGTGCAGAGATGTCAATGCTGTGGGCGTGGAAGCGGTTGCTAGGGATGACCTCATCACTCTCACTGCACCAGCCAATCGTCATCCATGTTTAAGATGATGACGTTGTTGATGATCATGATGTTGGATGATGAAGATGATATCGACTGACGATGAGGATAATGATGATGACCTGGTTGATGATGGTAATGATGATGACGATTCTGACCCCTGACCTCGGGAGGTGGGGGGCCCGCTGGCCGTGTGGGCCCCAGGCTCTTGATGCTGCTGTTGTTGTTGTGCCAACGGTGGGGGGCCTTGCTGGGGGAGGGGAGGAAGCCGTCAGCACGCAGGGGGCCACTCACGTAGCTGGGGTAGGGGTGGGGGAGAGTAGAGCAGAGGAATCACAACACACATAGAGGCAACGCACAGAGATCACAAAGACAAAGATCCCCTGTATAGCCCTTGAACAGACTGTTTGGGCAAGTGCTGTTAGCGAGCACCTATGAAGGCCGGAACGGCACACGAGGGGGTGGGTGGCCAGCAGCCACGCCCGATTGAACATTTACACATCTTAACAAGTACTCATTTGAGACCTAGCGGAGACCCGGAACCGGTTAAGATAATCGTCACCGATGTTGGCTGTGAGCGGGAATCGAATTCTGGTGGCCAAATTTGTAGCGCAGCGCGCTCCCCAAAGGCACAACACACACACAGACACACACAGATCACAAAACACATGCAGACACAGACAGCAACACAAGCCACACAGTGACCAATGTAAACAGATGGTGCGGTTAGGCCTCACCTCCTGCCAGGCCGCAGTGGCAGCCCGCTCAAGCCTGGTTGCCATAGTGATGGCTGCACGCAAGATCCCATTGGCTGGGAGGGCAGGGTCATGTGACCAGACGTGGACGGCTGTGGAACGATCCCGTAGTGACCTGCACACAGCTGCAGCTTGCTGCATCAACAACAACAACATAAACACACGAACACATAAACACAAACCCCAACACACACACATAAATGTAAACATTAACAAATGCATAAACAGCATAAACAAAATACTACAACAAACAACAACACAAGCAAAAATTTGGCAATGTCGTCAGGGAACTTCGCACGGGAATATCACACGGGATTATCACGTGGGATTCTTGCACGGGATTCTCGCACGGGATTCTCGCACGGGAATCTTGCTCACCCGATGTCGGACTGTGGCTGCCCATGCCAAGTCGCCGAGCCATCGCTGGGCGCCATCCCGCCGGGAATTCCACCGCCCGGAATGCCGTTGGGAATTCCGCCGCCCGGGAGGCCGTGGGTGCCGAGGATCCCAGGCATGCGCTGCCAGGTCTGCACGGTCACGACGGGCACAGGGTGGCCACCCCATGCCTGTGTGGCACACATAGAGACAAAGATAAAGATCCCCCATATAGCCTCAAGAGATTGTTGGGGCAATTGCTGTTAGTGAATTCCTATGAAGGCCAACACGGCACACCTATGAGGAGGGTGGTGTGGTCAGCACCGTCTTTGTCTCTCCAGTTCTGATATTTATTACACACCGCAACAAGTACTCATTTAAGACTGAGCCGACCTAGGGGAGGTCCACGGCCGGGGTTAAGATGTTCGCCACTGATGTAAGATTTGAGTGGGAAATGAGCGCATACGCAAACACACGTACAGACCCACACGCACACACGCAGAGACACAGATGTACACATGCACCAAATACACACACACATGTACATACATGGAGATGCACATAATCATACAAAGACAAAAGACAAACATCTTCCGTATAGCCTTAACAGACTGTTGGGGAAAGTGCTGTTAGCGAGCACCTATGAAAGCTGTGAGCAGGAAACGAACTCGGGTCCCCGTGTTCACAGCGCAGCGTGCTAACCACTAAACTACCGCTCCCCACACACACAAACGCACACATCAACACGCACACACACACACAGGTGCATACAGAAACACGAACAGAATTGTACACACACACGTATACAGATATGCATACATACACACGCACAAACTCACACGCGCACACACATTGCCGTGGCAACACACCTGCAGTGGCGGCTGGAAAGGCAGGGGCTGCCCCGGTGGATTCTGGGAAACCACGGGAGCGGGCGCGTACCCAGGATGCTTTGCGATGGACGTCTGCATTGTTCCTGCACAAACAAAAAAACCCAGAAATTCCAAGAATTTATTAATTTAGCAATGAGACGCGTGGCGGTGAGAACTGCCCATGAGCTCACCGGGTGAGCGAGCTCAAGCGATGGCAATCATGCGGCGTCGACAAACGCTCGAGCGCCGCGCGACCGTTTCATTTGTTTGGCCGCGTCGGGTGGCGGAGGGTTCATAACAACCCAAATTTAGCCCAGATCGTCACGCCGTGGCCCGACCCAAAGTCGTTTTGCGAATCGTGAACTCCGGTTCCTCGGTAGTTGGGGGAGGACGCGAGTGACGCGGTGGACTGAAGGCGACGATGGCTCACGGCGACTCAGGGTGGCGGTGGGGAATCCGAGACGAGGTCTCGCAGCGAGTGGCGGCCGACTGAAGGAGGCGACACGCGAGATCGAGTTTCACTCAAATATTAACCAGCGGCCGAAGGGAGGGGAGCGGTGGGAAGAGTGGGCGGGGGGGCGGCGCTGTTACCTTGGTAACGGGGCGGACACAGCAGCAGGGGCTGCTGGGAGAAGGGGTCGCGGGGGGTCAGGTACTGCGTCGACCCGATTGGCTGAGGCAGGGCCCCGCCCACGTCGCGGCCGTCCAATGGGGGCGGAGCGCCGTAGCCTCGCCCCCCGTAGCCAAGGAGCGCCGCGTCCTGATTGGTCAGCGGGAGGCTCACAGCGGGGTTGGAGGTGAAGCCGCCCACCTGGTGGAGAGAGGGGTAGGGGGGGTCAGGGCTTGCGAGGTTAGGGGTGAAAGGTCAGGCGTGAAGAGCTGGGTAAAGATGATTGTGTTTGATCGTGCGCCCTCCTCGTGCTTGCCGGGGCATCTCGCGGCGCTTCCCACGACGTCTCGTCTCAGCGCAGCACGAAGGGGCACCCCTGGTGGTAGCCATCCCTGTGCAACGCAAGGCGATGCGTTTTCCCCAAGCGAGTGACGCGCCGGTCATTTCTACGATTGGTAAAGTTGGATCCCCGGCACCGGGACACAGCGGCCTGTTCGCTTAAAATGAAACCAAACTATGTTTATTTTACCAGGTAAAGCCCACTGAGCTATGTCGTTCTTTTTCAGAAGTGACCTGGCCACAAATGGTAGCGAAGCTAAGCGGTTTTTCACGTGGAAATGTATAGCAGACAAAAACTCTTAAATGCATGTTTCTAAATGTGGAGGGAAAACCGGAGGAGCCGGAGAGAAGTTCACACGAACACAGGGAGAGGAGAGACACGCAAACTCTACACAGCAGCAGGCGTCCTGCATAGCAGGCGCGGTAGTTAACATCTCCTAGCCACCGTGACGTGGGAAGGTGAAGGAGTAGGCGCCCTCCACGACGCCGAGGCACTGCAACACCACCCCTGCCACCCAAACTTTGTAAATATGCATTCTTTATAAGTTTAGATTTTGTGGCAATGTAAGGCTTTCAATGGATGTATAAATGAGAACATAGGACTTTGTCCTACAGCAATGTATCTTATGCTCCAAATTTGTACTTAAATCTACCGCACTTTTAAAAACAGGCAATTTTCTTGAAAGAAAAACTGTAGAAATCAGTGAAAAAAATTCATGTTTTAATCATGTATTATTTTCCTTAGAAAATAACACAACTGTCAAATTATCTTATCATTTTGGTTATTATAGGCCTCTACTGTATTTTACATCGGAATGGAATTACACTTTAAACTGTACAAAAACAGAATAGATTTTTGCACACGCGGCGACTGGCGGGCGCTGGCCAGAGTTCAGAGGACAGAGCCAGCAGGTGCCATGGGCTCACCGACTGAGGGGACTGGCGAATGCACCAGCTGCGCTCCCCCCGCTGTTCCAACTCGCCGCGTTTTACTCGCCCGGCGCTCCGCTCGTTGTTGTGAGCGCCGGGAGGCTCCGCTCACCTGGCCGTGGAGCCCGAAGGCCAGGCCCTCGCCAGGCGTCTCCATGGCGACCGGCGACAGGAAGGGCGCGTTGCCGAGCAGCGCCGGGTCGAAGGGCGGAGGTCGGCGCTGGCAAACCTCCATGGCCTGGTAGGACGAGCGGAAGCTGCGAGGATGAAGGAGAAAGAGGTGTGGTGTGAGCGATGCAAGTGACGGTAGGGGAGGTGGGGGGGGGTGGAGTGGGGGGCACGACAACCGTCAAGTTCTTGCTCTGGTGGGGGCGTTTCCGCCGGACAGCCACAAGAGGCCGCCATCTCCTGCTCGCCCAGCGCTCACTAACTGCTCACCAATGGCTCACCACCACCCACTCCTAACTTATCAACCGCTCATCAATAACCTCTCACCCACCGCTCACCATCACTCACTCTGCACTCATCATCCAGCACTCACCAACCACTTACCAACCACTCAGCACCACTCACTCATCACTCGTCCACAGCTCACCCATTACTCACCCACCTACCACTAACCCTTCACCAACCACCCCCACTAATAAAAAGGTGCAGCCCTGAAACTGCTCACTAGCGCCGCCGCTGGCGGGCGCCCGACAGAGGAAGCTCTCGAGGGTGTTTGGCCTACTCAGCCACTCCACACTGGCCGGAGGGGGCGGGGAGATACCCACACTTTACCCCTCCACGCGAGGCCAGCTGACCACACACGGCCCGGACGAATCGAGGATGATACAAATATAAACACAGATTCCGATCCCATATTGTAGCCATCCCTAGTGTCATCTTAAAACCGCACACGATCACCCCCCGCGGCTCCCCCGCCCCTCCCCCTCCACTGTGCGCCCCCCTTATCCAGATACCCCCTTCTCCCCCCCGCCCGATACCGACACGTCTAATTTGAGTTTGGGATTTTTTTTCCAAAGGGAGCACAGAGATGACCTTTTGACCTTGCGGTCTGCGATCCTGAGTTGTTCCGGCACAATCCATCCCCCACTTGGCATGGCCTTCCCTCCCCACCCCGGCCACATCCGCCCCCCCGATACCCCCCCTCCCCGTCCCTCCCCACCCCCCAGGAGGCCACCAGCCACCAAAATACTCAGGCGCCGTCTGTGTCAGTCTGGCGGAGCGACTGCCTGGCAGGGGGCCCAAGCGCACGTGGGCCCCACCAGCGGTTGGGGGGAAAGGGAAGGGGGGTTGGGCGTGAGCTGCGACCCTAAAACCAGGAGAACAATCAGGCACACGCAGCACGGCGGATTCTGTCGAAACTCCGTCCAACGCGAGGACTCGCACGCACGAGTCCTCATCGAGTGCTTCATTGGTGATGATGACGTGTCATTGGGCAATTATTTTATTTGAGAAATGTGTCCGCTTTTCTCTACGGCGAGTCCTCAACAGCAACAGCACCACTTCCCACGTATGACCAGTGGACTCTGGACTTTGTAATACTTACATACCTATGAACTTCGTGGATTAATTGCACCTTATAAATGTATTTTTTTATCATTATTATTATCGCCCTCTACGCCCGAGGTCACTCTTTCACAATGGGACTCCTCTCCTGGCCTCTAGAGTTCTTACTTGGTTCAGCAAAATCCACTGGGCACTCGAACTCACTCACTCACCGATGGACAAATGACATGTGTCTGTGTGTCCGTGCGTCCGTGCGTGTGTGCAAGCACACGTACTGCTGGGTGAGCTGATGCTCGAGCAGGTGGCTCATGGTGAGGAAGGGGTGAGCGAGCACTTCGTGAGGAGTGGCCCTCTGCTCCGTGTCGAGGCGCAGCATGCGGGTGAGCAGCTCCACAAACTCCCGGCGATCGCAGCGCTCCGCCAACCCCTCCAGCGCGTCGCACTCCAGCGACGGGTGCAGCTGTGCAGGCACAGAGAGAGAAGCAGCGATGGAGATCCCCCATGTAGCCAGTGCTGGCAGCTAACACTTTTGAGGCCAAGGCCACGTGAAGTGTCGAACGCCCACTAGCAGGAGGTTACGACGGGACAGACCCAGGTGCCATGGGTTGACTGACTGAGGTGACTGGCAGATGCACCACCTGTACTCCCCACTGTGCCAACTCGCTGCATTTTAGCCACCCGGCACTCCGCTCGTTGTTGTGTCACTCCTCCGCCCTCCGTTGTTGCTGCTAGAGAGCGACTGCCTCCAACTGCCCAGTAGCGTCCTTCATGAGCGTTCTCCACAGAGGCCGATCTTTGACACCGCTGGTACCAGTCATCGGCAAGTCCACTCAGCCCCACATCCTCCTGTACCACAGCAACTCCATCTCTTCTCTAACCCATGCCTCGCCGATATAGCTCTCACAACATCAGCACACACACACGCACACACATACTCTGCCACACGCACACACGTACGTGCACTCTGCCACACGCACACACACCCGCGCACCTGTGCGATGTCGTCAAGCGAGCTGAAGATGTACTTCCTTGCCTCCTTCGACTTGAGCCCCGTCTCAGCCTCGTGCTCCTGTGGCGTCTACCCAATACACACAAAGAAAAAGATCACCTGTATAGGCTCAACAGACTGTTGGGGCAAAGTGCGGTAAGCGAGTAGCACATTAGGGGGTGATGTCGCTTTGTGTAACCGCGTCACCTCGTACCTTGAGTCTCCACGAGCCGTAGGGCCCTTCCTGCCGGAAGAACTTGCAGGTCTTCGTGGCGATGTTCAGCAGACGGTTCGGGGGGGCTCCCTGCGTCTCCGAGATGTAGCGGATCTGTGCGGCGGAGACACGGGCAGAGACACGCGGAGACACAGGGACATTAGGACACGGAGACACAGGGACATTAGGACACGGAGACACAGGGACATTTGGACACGGAGACACGGCGACATGGGGACACAGAGGGAGGGACACGGATACATGGGGAAGCTGAGACACGAGACCATCACCATGACTGGTTGAAAGGCGACTGTCTAGCTAGTCACGTGAATGGCTAGTCACGTGAATGGCTGGTCACGTGACTGGGTAACGAGCGAACTCTGAAGTGAAGTGGGCTTCCGACGAGACGATCAGGAGGAACATTATGATGACGATGAAGGATGGCGATGAGCGAGGAGGTGGTGACGATGGTGACGATGGTGGTGATGATGAGCGAGGAGGAGGTGCTCACCTGGTCATACTCCAGGGCCCCCGGGTAGAGGGGCCAGCCCAGGTACAGCTCGGCGATGACACAGCCCAGGGACCACATGTCGATCGCCTCGCAGAACGGCAGCCCCAGGATGATCTCGGGGGCCCTGCCACAACCACAAGCCACAACCACAGCCATTCATACATTTCACCGCACGGTGACAGACGTGCTGCGATCCAGCGCTGCGGAGGCAGCAGCGAGGGTTGGTGGATCACCACGCAGATGCTGTGGAACTCCCTTCCCGTGGTCGTTAGGGAAGAGCCGTACGCTGGTTCTGCCGGAAGGCGGTGCAGCTAAACTGTCCCGTCTGTATGGGATAGAGTGTTTCCCCATCGCACTCGAGGGTTTTCTCCGGGTTCTCCGGTTTCCTTCCACGTGTAAACACTCAGTAATTCGACGAAAACACGCAAGAGTGGGGGCCCTGGGGGGCGCGGGCGGTGGGGGGGGGGGGGCGCAGAGGAGAGGGTGGAGGAAGAGGAAGTGTTGGGGGTAGAGAATTGAGGAGGGGTAGAGGAGTGGGGGGCGGGGTGTCCGGGGTGTAAGAGTGATTGGGGGGTCCCGAGTAGAGGGTAGAGGAGTGAGTATGGGCTGTGGCGCTGGAGGGGCGGGGTGGAGGGGTGGAGGGGTGGAGGGAGTGGGGGTCCCGGGAATGGGGGGGGGGTGAAGCTGGCAGCGAAACCCCTGAGCTCGCAGCGCGGGGGATGGGGGGGGACACCCGAGCCCACGGGGGGGCGGAGAGAGGGGAGGAGTGTAACTCACACCAACACACACACTCACACGTGCCCCACACACACGTGTGTGCACAGCGATTCAAACACACGTGTCACACACACGTCATTTTCGGCGCTTGTGCCAGGTTAGGTGCACCTTGAGGCCATCATGTGACGCGTCAAAGACTCTTTGTTGACAGACCCAGGTGCTATGGGTTGACTGAGATGTCACCCCAAAGACAAAGATCCCCCGTGTAGCCTTAACAGACTGTTGGGGCAAGTGCTGTTAGCGAGCACCTTTTTTGGCCGGAATGACGCACGAGGGGGTGGGCACTCCCGGCCGCCTTTGTCTCCCCAGCGGGGATGTTTACACACCGCACCAGGCACTAATTTAAGGCTGAGTCGACCTAGGGGAGGCCCAGGACCAGTTCAGATAAATCATCGTCACTGGTGTTGGTGGTCGCCGTGAGCAGGAATCGAACTCGGGTCGTGGGGTTCATAGCACAGTGCGTTAACCGCTGCACACGCGCACTCACAAAGCCCGCTGTGGTGCGGGGAGTGAGTGGGGCCGCTTCCCGTGGGAGTGTTGTCGGGGGTGGATTTGGGGTTTTGGGGAGATTTCAGATTTCGGTGTTGAGGTTTTCTGGACTTGTTCTGTTTTTGTTTATCTGCGCTAAGCCAGACAAGACTCGCGCGTACACACCACCACGTGCACACACACACCACCACGTGCACACACACACACACACCACGTGCACACACACACACACCACCACGTGCACACACACACACACCACCACGTGCACACACCACCACGTCCACACACACACACACCACCACGTACACACACCACCACGTGCACACACACACACACACACCACGTGCACACACAACACTCCACATGTAGACAGACACTTCGTGGGTAGCCTCTCGCACACACCCGTGTGTGACAAAGATCCACCGATCGTGGAATCGGCTGTTAGCCAACAAAGACATCCCCCGTACAGCATCGACCTTTCGAGTAAATGCCAACACCACGCCCGACCGCCTTTGTCTCCCCAGTGGCGATGGTTACACACCGCACCAGCTATTTATTGGAGGCTGAGTTGACCTAGGGGAGGCCCAGGAACGGTTGAGACAATCGTCACTGGTGTTGGCCGTGAGCGAGAATCGAACTAGGGTCCGCCGGGTTTGTAGCGAATCGCGCTAACTGCTGCACCACCGCTCCCCCCCCACACACACACGCAGATACACACACGCGCGTGTGCGCGTAATCGCAGGTCACAGCACCCCATACCAAGTTACACCAACACGCACACACGCGTACACACGCACGCGCCTATTTATAACACAGCTGCGAGCTAATCTCAGCACACACACACGCGCACACACGCGCACACACACACGGGCACACACACATAGGCACACACACACACAGACACACAACAACAACAACCGCCATTCGCCACTAAGTGGTGGTGACATCACCACGACGCTTGTGCCAGGCCATGTGCACCTTGAGGCCACGTGAAGTGTCGAACGCCCGCTAGCAGGAGGTCACGGGGCAGACCCAGGTGCCACGGGTCGACTGACTGAAATGACCGAGATGACTGGCTGACGCACCACCTGAGCCCCCTACTGTGCCAACTTGCTGTGCTTTAGACACGCGGCGCTCCGCTTGTTGTTGTGAGCATCACTCCTCCGCCCTCCGTTGTTGCTGGAGGGCGACTGGCTCCAAATGCCCAGTAACGTCCATCACGAGCCTCCTCCACAGAGGCCGATCTTGACACCGCTGGTACCAGTCATCGGCAAATCCACTCAGCTCCACGTCCTCCTGTACCACATCACTCCATCTCTTCTCTAGCCCGTGCCGCGCCCGTTTAGCCCCCTCGATCCGGCCGAACAAAAGCTGTTTAGGTATGCGGTGGCTGGGCATGCGGGCTACATGACCAAGCCAACGCAGCCTTGCCTGCCAGAGGAGCTCACCGATGGGACTTTGCCCAGATCTTTCAAGGATTTGCAAGCTCCTCACACAATCCAGCCTGTTTAAACCCAGGATGGATTGTTTCCAACCGGCGAAGATGCTCCATTTGGGGGGTCCACGTTTCGCAAGCGTAGAGAAGGGAGGGAATGACTGTGGCCGAGAAGACCTGAAGCTTCGTGCGGAGCGACAGACCAGGTAGCTTCCACAGAGAGTTACGCAACCGACGAAAAGACATTGCCGCTCGACTGATTCGGAGTGAGACCTCTGCTGTTAAACTGGAGCCGGTCATAAGCACACTGCCCAGGTATGGGAAACTCTCCACTCTCTCCACTACTGCCCCATCACCGATTGGGAGTTGTGGGGGTGGAGTGTCCGATGGTACAAAATACCCAGGCAGGTGCTTCGTTTTGGTGGGGATGATGGTAAGGCCCCACCTCTTAGTGGCACTCTCCAGTCTCAGCAGCAGCGTCTCCAACTCCTCCTCTGAATGAGCAGCTATTACCAAATCATCGGCATACATAACGTGGTTGACCAATAGGAAGCCATCCCTTGATCGCACCCGGGCATCGATCAGCCTCCCATTATATCTGTACCAAATGGAAATTCCCCCGGTACAGCTATTGAAGGCTTCAGGAACTACGTGGTCAAAATAGATGTTAAATAATGTGGGAGCCAGAGGACATCCCTTTCACACCCCAAGGTGTACAGGGAAAGGCTCTGACTCCCGGCCACGTAGTTTTACCCGGGCCCGCTCACCATCATGAAGGTCCTTAATGATCGTGAGCAAAGGGTCAGGGACTCCGAAAGCACGAAGAACAACCGAGAGCCCTGGCCTAGCACCACAACCACCACCAGCACCACCACCACCAGCACCACCACGAGAGGCAGGGGGAGACGCGCAGGAGTGCACGGCGCGGGTCCCACGTCGCCACGGCCTCTGCGCGACCCCCCAGGGAAGGCGAAGCAAACCGAGCCCGTGCCTCCTCCTCCTCAACGTGCCTCCCGCAGCGCCACCGCTTGAGCGCCTCCACGCCGTGGGCAGCGACACCTTTGAGCCGTGAGCGAGTTCATGGATCCTCCAGGCGGAGTCCCCACGAGCGACGCGGCCTCACGCCACCATCGTCGTCGCGTTGGTGTCGGATCGACGACCTTCACGAGCGGTCACCGTCTCTGCCCCCAGGGTTATGGGCGGGAGTGGCGTTTGGGCGTGAAACACCGCGGCAATCGGCCCCGACTGGCAGCCCAATGGCCCCAGGGTCCCTCTCGCTTGGTTCAACATCACGAGCCTAAATCTTGAGACTGGATCGTGAAGGAGGCAGCTCGCTTTGACCTGCAGCTGAGCGTCACATCCTTATTGAGTGTATGACAACGACAACACTCACGCACGAACCTACACGCAGTTCAGGTAGCACACGGGGCACCAGTGTACGCCTTGCGTGTGTGTGTGTACACTGGGGTGTGTGTGTGCACACTGGGAGCGGTGGCGCAGCGGTTAGCGCGCCACGCGACACACGACGACTCAAGACGAATTTCTGAACCGGTCGTGGGCCTTCCCTCGGTTGACTCAGTGCGGTGTGTAAACATCAACACTGGGGAGACAAAGGCAGCCGGGCATGGTACTGGTCACAACATTGGTGACCATAACAGACTGTACAGCGAAGCAAACACAGACGACCCGAGTTGGCAGTGGTAGGCATGCACAGACAACGCGACACGCTCGCCAACAGCAACACGGTGCCCTTAGAAGGAAGGTAAGGGCAGGTTATATGACTGCACAGGTAACCCCATGCAGGTGAGAGCCATCGCCTGAACAGCTGAGCCAGGGCAAGGTCTATGACTGCACAGGTGAGCTGGCATCACTGGGCGCAAGGTGTACACGGGTGTACAGGTGGGAACAGCACGGCGAGTGCCGCAGGTAACCTAACACAGGTGGGCTCCACCACCGCCGCCACCACCGCCACCACACGGCAGGTCCCAACACTTTCCTCGCACCGAACCACTGGAATTTCCCTCCCATCACCAACGTCTCTTTAACCCCCGCCCCCTCCTCCAAATTCTCACAACAAGAACATCGCTCAACTCACGAACCGCGATCACTCTTATCTATCTTCGTCATCGATAGTGCTGATTGTTGCTGGTCGCTTGGGGCCGGAGCTGTGCAGCTCTGATTGGTTAACAATTCAGTGCACAGGTGAGCAAGCACAGGTGAGCAACCACAGGTGATGGCTGTTCTCCCCCCGCTTGTCCATATTGCACCCCCCCCCCCCCCCCCCCGTTTCACTTCCCATTCCAGTCCCTTACCAACCACTACCACCCGAGCCCTCAACCCCCGCCCCCCACAACTACCACCCCCACCACGTGGCCCCCACCCCTTTAACTACCACCCCCACCACGTGGCCCCCACCCCCACAA